TAGAACGATTTTTACCTCTTCCTATGTTCGAATAGTGAGATGTGAAAACTTTCCGCACTTGTAATCCTAGTTTGATGTTCCGATTTCGAATGTTTTTGGGGAAGATCAGTGGGCTAGCGTAATTGCAACCGACGCGCGTCGGGTATCACGGTAACATCTCCTAATGCGGCGTCTCGGACTGGTAGCTCGAACAGCCTTAGTGTTCTTTGTGCACTTACTGTCAGAGACGATTTTACTCTCTAATCTCATTTAGCTGAACGGGGCGGTTAAAATGCCTCTGCCTATTTTTAATTTCGTTTGCACCGTGATCTCTGAATCCCTTTCGAAATCCAGGCTCTTGGCATAACATGGTAAGAAAAAGATTTTCATAGACTTGATATTATCGATGTGCTTCAGTCTGGAGCACACTGTTAAGGTGAGTAACTGCGTCACCTACCAAATTTCTGCGTTGTTGTGTGTCTGTTTAAATTTGGTTTTATATGATTGAAAAGAAAGTTAGAAACCCCCATTTCTTACATTTTAGCTTTCCGTATGAGCAAGATGTTCGTTGTTTTTGCATTCGATGATAATGGAGCTGTTATTTATCTGAGCTTTCGGGAAGATGATGCTGCATTCAGGCTGCTTTAAAAACAATTTTGGAAAAGAGAGGAAGTATCTTCAGTGTTTCTGGATGAGTAAAATTAGCATTGTGGATGATTAACACTTTTTGCTCTCAAAGCTACAAAAGGATCTTTGTCAAATTAGGCATAATAGTTCAGAAGTAAAACGCAGTACTTGAATTTTTCCAGACGTTTCAATTTCATTTTTCATCGATTCTACATTCTGTATTAACCCTTTTACGTGTTCGTGTGTAAGTTTGTGAATGTGTGTATGTATGCATGTGCTTACTGTGTAGTCCGTGCTTATGTGTGTATGTGTGTGGTGAGCATGTATGTGCGTGCGTGTGTGCCGGTGCATGTATTTATATATGCATGCGAGTTTGTTTGTTTTCCGTCACAAAATTTATGGTCTCATCTTTTATTACCTTAGCGTCTCGCTGCGCTTCTGGAACAACGATCCATAGTTTTTAAAATAATGTTTGCGCATTCATTTTTAGACAAAAAAGCTCAAAGATGGCACAGATTCGGTCACGCTTACTTTCAACGGGGGAGGTGATCGAGCCAGTAGAGCAGGTGTTTGACCAGATGAAGGATATGGAGGAGCAGCTCGATCCATCCTTTTTCAAGGTTGAAAATAGAAGCACTGAGGAAACAGCAGTAAAAAGCGCTTGCAAAAAATGCGACCACCTACAATGTCAGTGATGTGATGAAGCGAAATGATGAAGCAGCGGGGATTTTTTCTAAAATAAGTACATGTGGGAGGTTTTGGAATGGAAGTGAATCTTTTGACAAATTTCGTAAAATAAACGCTTTGAAAAACACCTTCGTTTATTAGCACTGAAGTGATTAACAGAAAATAACGTTAAACCCCTCCACCATACACTGCGCATTAGGAGCGGAGGTTTTTGAAGTCAACTGATTAGTAGCAAGCTGCCAACTGCAACTTCCCGGTGGCTAGCATCAACAGACTTGAAAACAGGCTATCATCAGCAAACTTTTTGAAAAAGAAGGAAGCATGTTTTTTTGGCAAAAATATCAATACTGGGTGGTGATGATTAATGGCAGTGGTACTGAGTGATGATGTTAATTGGATTCACTGTTAACACAAACGAAAGGAAATGGTAAAAATGATGTGAATTCAGGAAAAACATTAGATCACTATACTCACTAATTCATCGAGAGTTCTTCCTGGCAGTTGAATAATTTGCACAAAATTAAGATGATTGAGTATTATTTTGACAAGGGAGCGACGATTATCACACCCAAACTGGTCGAGGAGCACCCATCGCGCGAAATGACAAAGGAAGCAAAAGTCAAATTTGTCACTGGAATTATCGCTGCAATCAAGCCGGCCAACAAGGTTTCTCTATGCGCTGTATTTCAGAACTGCAGTGCAGATTACTGAATTAGTACAGGTCATTCCTGTAAGTTATGAACCGCTACTAACGATGAATTAAGCAGCAACGTGGTCACGCATGCTAGAGCTTCCGTGCTCTAACCCCCAGCGCATGTAAAGTGCGACCGCGGTTCCGCAACGAAGACCGGTATTAGCAATGCATAAAAAA